AATAAAAGAATTTTGTACACGTAAACAGCTCTCTATTTCTGCCATATCCAAGTTGCCGTCATAACCAGGTATTTTAATTCTGGGCAGTCTTAGTTTTGTAAGTTGTACTTCATACTCCTTCATTTTACTCGCAGCCTCTATTCTAATTTTTTCTACATCTTGTTTGTTATGGCATTTTAAAATTACTCCACCATTTTTTAATTCTCTAGTATTTTTAATTCCAACTTTAAGTTCGGATGGCTTTATATGTACTAATAAATCTTTTTTTGTTGATTCAGCTTTCTGGGGTTGCTTCGGAATTATCATTATATGAGGTATATTATTATTAAATATTTTTCTTTCATTGCTTTCAGCAGGAGTTTGTAGAATGTTGCTGTAAGATTGAGGTATATTATTATGTTTTTCAGCCACTTTCTCCAGATCAGAAATCCTTGCCTTTAACAAGGCAATTATTTCATCCTTGCTCTGGATGATGGATTCCTTATCATCGATGGTCTGATGTAATAGGGTAAATGTATCAGACTGTAAGCATTTGGGACATAAGAGCTTCATGACTCGTCCATTTCTTAATTCCAAGACTTTAATTTCAGAAGCCGTCACTTTACTACACTTTGTGCATATTTTAGCATTGCACCCATCACATAAGAAAATTTTCACATTCAGTTGACTTTCACTACAAATATCGCATTCCATTTTCTTCTTCAATTTAAATAGCGTATGGACATGCTAAAACTCACACATTTATGTGCACTAGAAGCTGAATTGTTTATCTCTTTTTTTCAGGTGGCAACAACATCAATTTCATATTAGATTTCACACGAGGACCGTAAAAAAAATGAAAATACTTCCGGAGCAATTGTAAACATGTTTACTATTCAACGGACGATCGGCTAATTCTGAACATATTTCATGCATCATGTCCTATATCTATCTTCAACTGGATCTAAACGGTTAATTTTAGAGCAAAACCGATCATACATTCTTATCTTAGTTTTCCATAAACTATCATTTGACACCAACTTTGAATTTAATCCATTGTTAAAAATGCCGGCTAAATTTAATCTCCGGTTAAATTCAAAGTTGGTGCCAAATGATAGTTTATGGAAAACTAAGACAATAATGTATGATCGGTTTTGCTCTAAAATTAACCGTTTAGATTCTACAGCCTGTCAAAGTTGCAAAAAAGTCAATATTCAACTGTCAATATTTCCGAAACAGTTGAAGATAGGTATAGGACATGATGCATTTAACGTAGAATTTGAAAATGAAATAAAAAATTATGTTTTCATTTAAAAAATAAAGTTAGTTGTCATAACTTGTTTTTGGGTCACCCTGTATACATGGTATTATCATCAAAAAAACGGCCACTAAAATCAAGAATTGACGTGTCCGAGGTTTTTTGAAAAATATCCACCCTGTATATTTTATAGATTTTAATCCAACCTTTGAGTGCTCACTGTATATACCTATATCAACTGTCTAGTGCCCCAGGCAGGGGTCTGTTTCAGGCCCCTTACTGTTCCTATTATTAAGTGATCTGAACTTTTTGCCAATAGGGAACTTGCACATTTTTTTTTAAATTCAAAAATGTGTTCTACTACACTAAAGACATAGTCATGCCAAATATCAGGCATTCAAAATCAGCCATTAATTTTTTATAAATATTTGAAGTTACGCTCGAAACATCGCCATTTGAAACGACCGATCAGTGTGACGTCACTCGGCAACAAAATTCCGATCACAATGACGAGCACTTCGAACTTCAAGCAGGTAGATTAAGATTATGGTTATGTTGTTATGTATGCAGTTTTTGATAGATTTGACATTGACGACACCAGCAGCATATGACGTGGCAGCGGCACGACCCGATTATTACTGCCTTGTGACGTCACGACCCATAGAAATACGTTTTTGATCGCGTCATGAATTTCGAATTATTTGGTATTTTCAATTGAAGATTTTGGACACCAGAGATAAGATATTAAATTTTCTTCCTAATTGCATCATTTATTAGGATTATTGTTATTGTGTTTAGTTATTTATTCCATATTTAATTTGATGTGCAAGTTCCCTATTCAAGGAAAAATCACTATTGTTTGGTGTCACCCTGATTCGTAAGTACTGGGGTCCCTAATAGCATCTGAGCTGACTACTATTAGAGAGTGGTGTGTCTCTAATAAATTGGTCTTTTATGCGGGTAGGGTAAGACTAGTGTTATGGGGTTTAAGTGCAGGGTTGATGGTCTACAGTCTACAGCTTGATGATGACAGTCCCATCCACGACAGGGATGAGTGCCGCTTTGGGCCAACTTATTAATGTGTAGCTTCGTTTTTTGGGCATATTCTAGATTTGTGCAGTAAATTGGCATCAGGATGTTTTGCATTAAAGTTAACTAAGCGGGAACTGGAAAAGGGTGTTGCCTGTATGGTGTGTTTTGCGCTTGTTGAGTCGCGCCTTCAATATGGTTTACCATTTTGGGGTTTCACATCCAAAACCCTATTCAATGCTCTTTTGATTTTGCAGAAGAAAGCACTTACGATTGTTTCTGGTGCAGGTGTTTGAGGTTTGTGTAAACCATTGTTTGTTTCTGAGGGTATACTTACTTTGTCCAGTCTTTTTGTCTCGGATACCTCTGTTTTGGTATACAAATTTTGTCATGAGTTCACAGTTACTAATAGTAGTTAAGCATATGACCTGTGATTTAAAGAATATTCCGTTTCCCATGCCTTCAAGCACACTGACGAACTAATCCCTTATTTATGAGAGCAAGAAGATCTTTAATCATTTGCCTGATTCAATTAAGAATATTCAATCTGCTTAAAAATTTAAGAAGTTTCTAAAGAAGTTTTTGCTTACCAAACCGTATTACGATAGTGCCACATAAGTTGTGAATTACTACTCTCTGAACTTAATTTTACAAAGCCCTATATTTTTTTTTTTTTTTTCTTACCAGCTTCTTCATCTCCAGTCAATATTTTAATCTATTGTGTATTGTGTAGTACATGGGAATTTTATTCTGGGGATTATTTATACAATATTGTCTTGGCTTATAAGTCTTAGATTTAGTATCCTCGAGAGTATCCTTTATTATAAGATTTATTTCTTGACAATAAAGTACATTTTCTGTCCTTTTTCCATCCACTCGAAAGGTGACTGGTTATCTCTGTAATATTTGGTTATTGTTCCTGCTATATAGAGGCATGGGCACTGGGCACTACTAACAAAGATAAAAAGACGTTACTTCTCATGGTAATTCCATAAGTTATCTGTTAGAATAGTTTTATAATACCCGCCCTTAGTAATACAACATTAATGGCCGTTTGCACCGATCATTTTAAGAAAGCCTTAGTGATAAGCATCCCTTAAAATGATATTTTTACGTGAAGAAATGTCACTTTAAGGAATACTTATCGCTAAGGCTTCCTTAAAATGGTCGGTGCAAACGGCCATAATTGATCTAATTTTTATTTAAAAAAATTATGCCCACATTTGCTTAAAATTGATGAAATTTGGATGTGGTCACCAAACATATTTTTCTTCGCCTTCGCGGCGTGTAGGGGGCGCCACATCTCAGTCTCCCCCTCTAAGGAGAGTCATATCGCTACGGCCCTGACTAACGCTGCGATAATTCGTACAATTTAAGTTTGCGCAAGCAAATTGTCCAAGCAAAGAGAAACCAGCAATGCATTTTTTGCTGATTTTTTTGAAATCCTTTTATGTCGGAGCTTTCTACTTTGTTCTGGTGAAGAAATGATTAAATATGTTAACCCTTCCAAATAGTCTACATTATTTTGCCAACTTTTGCTAGTTAGGTACAGGGTAATTTTTTATATTTTCCCACCCCCCCTTAACTGTTTTGTGCCACTGTGTATAAAAAAATCAAATAGGAAAGTTGTAGTGCTTCAAAAATAGTTCTCAGAAAACACAGTTTTGCTCATACAGGGTGTTGCAAAAAGTTTAAAAAACAATTTTTTTTTAATGGGACACCCTGTATATTATGACATTATTGGATTATGCGGAAAATTCTAGACATATTTCATGTATAATGTCATATACCTATCTTTAACTGTTTCGGAAATAATGACAGTAGAAAATTGACTTTTTTGCATCTTTGACAGACTGTAAAACCTAAACGGTTGATTTTACAGCAAAACCGATCATACATGCTTGTCCTATTTTTTTATAAAATATCATTTGACACCAACTTTGAATTTAATCCATGATTGAAAATTCCAATTAAATTTAATCTCCAATTAAATTCAAAGTTGGTGTCAAATGCTAGCTTTTGAAAAGCTGTAGACAAGAATGTGAAATTGGTTTTGCTGTAAAATTAAGAATTTAGGTTTTACAGCTTATCAAAGTTGCAAAAAAGTCAATTTTCTACTGTAATTATTTCCGAAACAATTCAAGATAGGTTTATGACATTACGCATGAAATATGTCTAGAATTTTCCGCAGAATCCAGAAATGTCATGATATACAGGGTGTCCCATTTGAAAAATATATATTTTTTTGTTTTTTAAACTATTTTTCAAGCACTACACCTTTCCTATTTACATTTTTTTATACACAGTGGCACAAAAAAGTTAAGAGGGGTGGGAAAATATAAAAAATGACCCTGTACATATCTTATTCAAATTCTATATTGATATATATTCCCTAATAAAAACTATTAAGCAGGTGAGTTAGAGCCAGTATTATGAAGCTGGTGAACCGAAGGTTGAGTTTCAACCAGCGGTCGAACTGACATTTCCGTATGATTTTATATGGACATTTCAGTTCAACCGCTGCTGGTTGAAACTCAACCTTCAGTTCATCAGCTTTATAATACCTGCCCTTAGTGGAAGAATTCGGATAGAAATAACTATACCTATGCGCAAACAAATTAACCTTATCATTTGAAACCCATCTCTTTATGTGTTTATCAGGCTTTTTGAGTATGCAAAAACCTATCAACAGAGCTGAGCAAGTACTTTCCTAATGAACATTTTTAATTTATAGATGTAAGATCCAAAGACCTACAAGAAGACGATAGTAAATTCAAGCTCGAAACAGACACAAAAGAATATGAACCGATAAAAAAAGGTAGACCAATCAAATCTCTCAGAAATGAAGGTACAAAACCAGTAACAAACTCACTAAAAATGTAAGTTTCCATATCATACATACAATTGAAATAATTTTATTATTTTTCTTCCACTTCTAAACTAGCAACTATGTCCCTAATTAATTCTTATGCACATTTTCTAGACCAGGCGAAAGAAAATTTTACAGATGCGATCACTGCCCTTACATGGGCAGTTCAAGGGCCAACTTGGAACGTCACAACATGATTCATATGAGCGAAGACGATATTTTGTGGTACAAATGCTCAGACTGCGAATACAAATCGAAATACGAAGCCCAATTGAGAAGTCACGTTATCATCCATAAAGATCCGAAGGAAATAGAATGGTTTCCTTGTCCACACTGTGATCTGAAGTGTAGCAGAAAACATAATTTGACGAATCATATCAAGACCGCACATTTGGATCGAGTGAACAATTTCAAGTGAGAATTTTTGTTGAATATTACTTTTTTTTTTTTAAGTTTGAAACCTATCTGTTATTTTCTAGATTATTTTATAGCAATATCCAAATTTGTTATGACTATTTATAGTATTTTTTGTTTTAGATGTGAAAAATGCTCATATGCAACGTTTTCCAATGACAGATTAGTAGCTCACTCGAAAAGTCATTCAGACAAAATTTTCGGCTGTAAACTGTGCAAGTTTATTACTAAAAATGATGACTATCTCAAAAATCATGTCAAATTGAAACACTCTGAGACTGACGAGAGACCTTTTCCTTGCGACACTTGCTCTTATAAGGGTAGGACTAAAAGGGAATTGGTCAGACACTATGATCGGATGCATAATAAGGAGAAAATGCGTGTTTATAGGTAAGAATTGAACAGATATATGGACAGGTTTATTGGGTATTAATTGGCTACCCACTATAGAAATAGTGTTGTAGCAGCATGGCCTCCTATACTGATTGAAGGAAAATATTACTAAAATAGGACTGTAATAGTTATTAACGTTATAGGGACGATAAAAAGCTAATTACGGCCGGGCTGAAGTTTGATGAATCATAATCAGCCAAGGCTGTTATTTGCAGTTATCGGACGTGTTTCGTTCTCAATTTTTCGTCACAGTCATACTGCAGATATCTTTCAATCTAGCAACAAAAAAAACACTCTCTTATAGGGGTCGTTTGAAAATAACGGACGGCAGCCTTTATTTATGTTTTAACCAGCCACGGATAAAAAACGTACGGCGGCGGCAGTTTAATACACCTTTTTGATTTAAATTTCGCTCATGTTATATTAAGATAAACAGTACAGTATGACGAAAAAAAATTTAATGAGAGACCTAACAAACTAAATAAATAAACTGCTAGACAATTGCTTTCAAGCAAGAAAACTTGTTCGCCTAACTTTCAAGCTCAATATTTTTGGAACCAGACCAAATATCGACCTCCGGTTTTCACGGGCTGGCAGATTGACTTTTTGTGAAAAAAGCTGCTACATAGAAACCAGAGGTCGATATTTTAGTTCCAAACATATCGAACTTGAAAGTTGGGCAAAATTTTCCTTTTGTTCAAAAGCAATTGTCCAGCAGTTTATATGTATTTAGAATAAGGAAGAAACAGAACAAATAATAGTATTATATAAGGTGTTTCAATCCATGTGTGATAACAGTATTTGTGTGGCTAGTTAACAAGTCGGTAGCCGAGAATTACTTTTAAAAAAACTTTATTTCAACTTGCTAACAATATTGGGATGAAAAATAAGAATACAGTTATAAATTAGATGCTTTCAACTGACTGGCTGTAAATCTAAGCTGAAAAGCTTTTATGACAATATAAAGTTAAAGTCAGCAAAAAAAGTGATTACTCGGTATCTTCTGGCCATTTAACTGGTTAAACAAACTCGAGCTGATGTATCTTTCTCACATGTATGGCAAATCTCTGTTATTTGAATTTTCCTAGTAAAATTGTCTACATTTTCTGCTCTCCTATTTTATTGTATGTGTATGTTAGTCTAATAAATTGTCGATTTTCAAAAAAAAAAAATCCTACCCAAATGAATTTTTCAGGGATGGTAGGGGGTGGGTGGGAGATCATAGAACCGAAGATATCACACATTCACCCCTCTGGCGTTTTGCGCTATAGGGGTTGAAAGTGCGCCATTGGCGTTTACTTGGTACCTATTGATTTTACAAAAAAATGTTTCAAATAAAAGTTGTGCAACATTATTTGATCCGCAATCTTTATCTGAAGACTTTTTTGATTAAGGGCCGTATGTGATCATAAGGGCCATCTGTGGTCATAAGGGCCGTTTGAAATTTATAATGAAAATACAAATGTTTAACCTAAGGAGAGTGTCCCCCCGCTGACTGGGGATAAGTTACAAAAAAATGAAAAAACTTTAAACTATCCCTATTGAAAAACGGCAGGGGGTGAGTAAAAACTTCATAAAGCAAAAACGTTGTATCCTATAGCGCAAAACGCCAGAGGGGTGAATGTGTGATACCTATCTTCGGTTTTATGATCTCCCACCCACTCCCTATCATCCCTGAAAAATTCATTTGGGTAGGATTTTTTTTTGCAATGCACGTATTTTTCGACAATCTTCCTAGACTATGTATGTGTGAGCAAGTGTCAGAAACCGCTTGAGAACAAGATTATATTGGTTTGAAGCTATTCCGTTTAAATTGTTGTACCTAATAATGTAAAAAAGTATTTTTCAATTTTCTTAAAAGATCTTTCAAATATTTAATTGAAGAAATTAAGTACTTTATCGAATCCAAAACAATACAATAATACTATTGTCAACTAGCTGCTTAGGAAAGGAGGACCCGGTATTCAACCTTATTAATTTAATTGCCGATTCGATCGAATGTTTATTGCAATTCAGCAATAAATTAATATAAATTGCGCTGCAAGCCGCAGCAAAGGCAGACTTAAACCAGTGCAAGTACCTCTCGTTGGAAAAGCCCCTCTGGAATTAAGTCTCCCCAGTGCAAGTACCTCTCGTTGGGAACGCCCCTCTGGGTATCTTCAGCCTTATCGTTGTCCAGTGCAATTACCTCTCGTTGGGAACGCCCCTCTGGACAAGGCATAAGGGTGACGATAAACTAATCTACAGTCCTCCAAGCAGCATTGACGTGTGGCTCCCTATAAGGACCCCAGTGTTCGAAGGGTCACGTATCTTATAGGATTAGCATACATGTAAGGTTATATTTGGGAAAATATATAGCATATATTTTTATATAACCTGAGCGAGTTTCTCTCCATCAACCCCCAAAGCTACAAACCCCCCATGTCACCCCCCGTAAAGCGGGTAGTTGTGACATATTTGGTGGAGGTGCCGTCTCGAAACCGACGCGCAAGAACCGACGTCGTAAGGCGCCTTTGAAGAAAGCCGACGCCCAAACACGTCACCAGGCGGTACGTCGACAAGAGAAATTCACGACACCGTGGCGAAGGTGAAGAGAAGACAGAAGAATAAATTGTGACACATAGTTAGTACCGCCGCCATTGTGGCAAGAATAGATGCCAGACAAAACCAAATATAATTTGAGGCCAAAGAACGCAGCAGCAACGACACCAGTAGAATTAGAATCAGAAAACGTGCTCTTTCTGCCGAGAAGATCACTGCAAAGATCACCACCAGAGTCAACCAGTATCAGTTTAGAACAAATTGAAAGGGAAATAGAAAACCAAGCAAATAATCAAACAGACTACGAAGAAGACAGTGTTTTTGGTAGCCCACCAGACCTTACCCTTCAAGAAGCACCAAAACACAGGCAACCATCTAAAGAGGAAGTAGATCAACCGGATATAATGGCGAACACCACAATAACTGATGCTATAACAGCGGAGAAAAAGGCGAAGTTGCCTCAGTTTATCAGCCCTCAGACCTTCCAGCCATGTAAAACCAGCGCGATCGAGTTCCTAAGAAAATATGACAGATCAGCGATAGCAAATGGATGGGACGAAAAGCTGAAAATTGTTTATTTTGAAACGTATTTAGATGGAGCCGCAAACCTGTGGTTTCAGGAATATAAGCGCGACCATCAAAACAACAGCTGGAAAGACATTGTCAAAGATTTTTCAGAGGAATTTGAGGATACAGATTACCAAAGGGCACTCAAGAAAAAAGTCGAAAACAGAAAACAAGGTCAAGATGAGTCAGTCAAGGAATACTTGTACGATTTACAAGTGTTATATCACAATTACACACATACATTTGATATACAAGAATTTGTAAGGATTTTCAGCGAAGGATTGACAAAGGCAAATCATTACACTTACTACTGGTTAACAAACCCGCCGAACAAGCCACCAACATCACTTATACAATTAAAAGAAATAGCAGACACAATAGATAAAGCTCCGAAGAAAAGTGCAACGCAAGATACCCAAATTACCAGCTGTACGGAAAGAAACACAATCACAGACACAGAACTAAACATATGTCATTATTGTGGAAAAAGAGGACATGTAATGGCCACCTGCAGGATCCGAATGCAAGGAGAACACACAAGCACAAGAGTACCAATATCTAGCCAAACGTGTTATAATTGTGGGAAAACAGGACACTTCGCAGCTGTATGTAGGAGCCAAAAGATGAGAAATCATAACTCCAACTCAAAAATTGCCACCGTTTGTTACAACTGTGGGAAAACAGGACATACTGCAACAGTATGCAGAAGTCAGCCTCAAAGGTACAAATCGTATACGCCACGAAACAACAAAAACAATCCAGGTTGCTTTGTTTGTGGAAAACAGGGTCACTTTGCAAACACCTGTACAGCCCGACGACAAAACCCAAACGAGAAGGGATGGCCAAATTAAAAGCCCCTGCCATCCTTACCATGGGGAAGAACAATAGCATGGGAATCTTGCACATCACAATTAGATTAAATAATAAGTACATATCAGCAATCGTGGATACAGGAGCACAAGATAGCGTTCTACAAAGAAGTCTAATCAAAGAGGAACTAACAAGAAATGATGACACGGTTCTAGTCACTGCAGGAGGACACCAGATAAAAGTTTTGGGAGACATTGATGTTCCAATAGAAATACCAGGGAGTCAGAAATGGAAGGGCAGACTAAACGCCAAAGTGATTTCATCATTAACTCAACCAGTCATCCTAGGCATGGAGTTTTTGACAAAAAATAACGCGATCATAGATCTCCCAAGGAAAAAACTGATTCTGAATGGTCAGCATGAAATACCCCTAAGACAAATAAATAACGAAAAAATCAACATGTCAGGTCTGGTCACAACAAAACAGCCGATTAAAACGAGAGAGCTTATACTAGATACTTCAAGAGATGAACAAGAGTTTAACAAGTTTGTAAGAGAGCACATTCACATAAAAGATGACCAAGTTAACGGTCTCCTGAAAGAAGAATATGGAAACATAGACGTCCTAACGAACGATGCCGTTTTAGTAGTAGGAGTAACCCAAAACTACAAATCTAAAAAATCAGTTTTCAGAAAATATAGGCATATGATTCCAAAAAAGAGAGAGAAAGGGACCATTGGGGAGCTATTTATGTCAAAACAAGGAAAAAAATCACTCATTTTCCTATTTACAAGAGAATCAATGAAGAAGAAGCCAAGTCCAAGAAATATGTATAAATGTCTCACAGCACTGAGGAACAATATCTCAAAAAATAAATCCATCAAAAAATTAGTCATTCCAAGACAAGGATGGGGATTAGAAAAAGAATGGACAAGATTTAAACAGATGATATATTTTCTATTTGAAGATGCAGGGGTCCAAATTCACATTTATAGGGAAAAACCTGGGGATAAAGCTAAAGAAGAAAAGCAGGAAGAAGAAATTAGGCATCTGATGCAAATCGGTACAGAAACCAAGA